CCCCAAAACCCCAAAACCCCAAAACCCCGCGAAGCAAAATATAGCAACTTTAAATACAAAAATGATTATCATTGATTAAACATGGAAGAAAAAATAAATATAGAGCCAGCCAAAAAAGATGATCGAGGCGAATTAGATCAGATAGGTTAGATTGACGCTAAATCTTAAATTGAATTGTAGAAGAGGTTTGGTGTAAACTTAACTCTCTATCCAAAAGAACTAAAAATTAAGAGATAAAAGAGAATATCTTCACAATAGGAAGACTGCATAATAATTCACTTCAAATATAAGATATCAAGATATCAGGTTGTCATTGCAAAATCATGAAGAAATTCGATACTCATGGTAAAATGATCGTAGTCTTAGAAGATTAGTCTAGCAATGGAACTTATTACAATGGTGAAAAGGTAAATTTAGATATTATATAATTTTAATAATCTCTTCCTCCTTAATTGATATTGATCAGTATTAACATTTTTAGATCGGTAAAGGCAAATTTAAGGAACTAAAGAATGGTGATGAGATATTCCTGTTAAGAGAAGTTGATGGTGCAGTGGATCAAGCAGAGGAAGTAGGCTTTATCTTTGTATTACTCAAAGACTACTCGGTCTCTCAATCACTTAACTAGTCAATGGCTATTCAAAGTAATGAAGACTCTTAGAGTAAAAAGCGCTCATTAGAAGAAATTACTTAAACTAAAGAGGAACTAGAGAAGAAAAAAGAGGAAGAGAAGATAATGAAACAAAAAATAAGCTCAATGGCAGATCAGTTTGATTGTGGTATATGCTATATGACAATGCATCAGGCAGTATCTTTAATGCCTTGTCTGCATACATTTTGTGGCGGCTGTTTTTCAGATTGGATGAAAAGACAAAAAGATTGCCCAAGTTGCAGAGAATTAGTTATAGAGGTTAAGAAAAACTCACTCATCAATAGTTTGATTGAGGGCTATCTCATGCTTAATCCGTAATTAAAGCGTGATCCCAAAGATTTAGAGGCTTGTGAAAAGATGAACATATTTAAGAATGATGTTGTAAATAAATTAACCACAACTAATATTTTTCTAGGTTAAAATTGATCAGCCTAAAAGTTAGTAAGAGGAGATTAAACCACCAGTTCAAATAGTTTAGCCAGTTTAGTAAATCTAACCTGCAATATAATTAAAAAAAGAAGAGGAAAAGAAAGGTTTCTAGTTAGGTCGTTTTCAGTAACCCTTATAATTACCTGATAGAAAATAATCAGCAACAGTTCAAAGATAATAGTCGCAAAAGAAAAATCAAAAATAGCCATAGAAAAAAGTCGATTGAGGTTAGTTAAATATTACACTACATAGATATTATAAGATCTTTTCATTACAAGAAAATTAATTAAATTTTAATCGATTTCATAATAGTTTATTCATCATCAGAATCTTCATATGATGATAGAGGGAGGAGAGTAAAATTACCCTAATCAGAGAGCTCAGATTCAGAAATGTCATCGCCCTCTGATGAATCAGATGATGAAAGTCATGAAGATGACTCATCTGATGATAGTGTTCCAATTTAAAGAGGGAGAAAGGTTGGACTAAATATTCCTACAATTCAATTAAAGCCAAAGGGAAAGGGACTAGGACTATTCGGTTAGCCAGGTGTAATTCCTGCAAGAAAAGAGTAGTGCGATACTTGCATTAAAGCTGGAGTAGATATGTTTATTTGTAATAAAGCTACAGTCCACAGAAGATGTGAAGATTGCAAAAAGCTATTCCCAGAGAGACCCTAGATTTATGACTAGTAATGCTTATTTTGTGATAAATACTTCTGCGGAAATTATCGCATCTGCGTAAAGCCTTAACAACTTTAAAATCTAAGCAACGCTAAAATTAACTTAAAGACAAATGAGGAATATCTAGAGCACTGGTCAGATAAAGAGAAGAACTAGCTAGATTTATATATGAAGAGATAAAGGCAAACGTTCAATAAAATAGCTACAGATATTTACCAGAATCATTTAAGAGATATGACTTTCAACAGAAATTTCAGAGATAATAGAGATGCTGAGGGTGAATTTAAAGTTCTTTAAAATACTGTCTTGTGCTAGGAATGCTGCAGATACATCTAAAGTGAAATGTTCCGGTAGTACCTATAACAAATTCAAGATCCTTAACCTAAGATTTTAAATAAATAGAAACAGAAAAATCAGAGTGATAGTGAAGAGGAGCCAATTCAAAGAGGAGGCAGGGTATATAACAAAGTTAAATAGATGAAGTTTATGTGATGTATATAAGTTTAAATTAAATTTAAATTCTTCCATAAACAAAGAATTTAAGCTTGGTATGATCGAGATTTCAGACACCGATTCTAGCGTTGGCGTGTGAGAGTGGCTTCTCGAGGGTATCATCTGTGTATCTTCTAATGAAATCTTGGAGGAGGAGTTCACTGTCAGCAAAGTCAGAGGCATCATTCTTGAATGATTGTCTGTGACATCTCATTAAGGTCTCTTGAAGATCAGCTTGGAACCACATCCATTTCTTCATCTGCTCTCCTCTAAGGAGGTGTTCTCTCTCCTTGACGAGTTCATCAGCTCTCATTTGAACGTACTCATCGAACAAGTTGCATCTGAGAACTTGCTTTCTGTATTTATAGTAAACTGCATTACTTGACCAGAAGAGGAGTCCAAGAGTGCATTTGGTCACGAATTGGTTGTTTTTGTTGTGGAAGAAAGCATTATAGTTGTAGAGGAACAAGAACTATACAATTATTGTCAATTAATGCTCTTCATTCAATTGTTTCAGGGATTATAGAATTCAATATTGTTCATGAGTATAGTTCTGATTATAAACTTACAGAGATGACAGTGGCATAGATAGTGAATTTCTTGTAGAATGGATAGTCGACATAGAGATAGGTCATGTCATCATCCCACTCGGCTAAATGCATTTAATTAAAAATAATGATATTTACGATCGTGGGGATCCAAGAACATGGCTTCAAGTGGGAACTTGGGTCCAACTCTCTTGACAACGTCGAGTAAGTCGAGCATCTTCTCGACTGATTCGTATCTCTTTTGTCTCATACCTCTGAAATAATCATTAGGGCTTTTTGGGAAAATACCTGTGAACTGGAAGGTTTCCATCATTAACTCCGAGTAGAGCCACAGTTGTGAAGTATCTCTCCATTTATATATTTAATTAGATTATTAAAATATTATCAACTTTTATTCTATACCTATTATCATCGCGGGGTTTTGGGGTTTTGGGGTTTTGGGGTTATCGCTAAATCCATGGTTGGTTGTTTTA